TTTTTGAGAGTCATGTTTATAAATAAAGAAATACATATGATGTTTTCTGTGTTGCAGTTAAATTTAGGTGGTGCATCCAACAAACATACTGCTATATTGTCCAGGAAGACTGCTAGCACCCCAGATGTCATCTTCTGGAAGGCAGCAACAGCATGGGCTAAAATCACTGTATGAGTAGATACATCAGTATTTTTGATAATCTGCACGATTTCAAAACATGCTGTAGTTCTTTAGCAATACAGGATTGGTATAATATACCTAAATATATTAATTAATTAGGTATAATATACCTAAAATGTACTCCTACTACAGGGAGAACTTAAGTGGCCAAACTGCACTCATAAAACCAGCACAGTTCTTCCAGTTAAAAGAGATGATCCCGGGAAAATCAGTTTCTGCCAGTGTAACTGCATCTACGCTAGGGGCATCTGTAAACACAGCTGTTCTTTCCTGGAATCCCACTTCTTCACAGCCACTGAAAGCCTGAAACACAGCTCTAACCCAACATTTTGAGGAGCTCTGTGCCATCTTTAGAAAGATGCTAGTCTGTCTTGAAAATCTGGATAGAGGAAAAGAGGCTGCAAATATACCCACTTAAATTTCAATAGATTTTTGAAATTCTTTTGTTCTACACATATTAAATTGAAGGACTAGAAATCAATTCCCTTCAAGGCAGGAAATGTGAAGCCAAAAATATGACAAACCATTTGATTGTAATTAATCAAATGGCATCACTACTTTTTTAATTTAGGCTTTCTCTATAAAACCCCAGAACATAGCTAAATAATAGATGTGTAATAAATTCGCAAAGCAAATCACGTTTTTAATGCTAGCATTATATCATGATCACTCCCAACCCCACCCTTCCAGTTAAAGGACCATTGGTGCTTGCTTCTGTTACTAATCCAGAGGATATGCTTCTCATGTTCAGTGACCCAGTTCCAAGAAGTATCACAATATAGAAGCCTATTTTCCAGTTAATAAACATGCATAATTGCTGTGAACATTAGCACTGATTATGCACTCTTACACACTCCAGGGCATATTCATCTAAACTTGGTGAATTCAAAAGATCTAAAGGAAAATGTATTTGGCCCTCTAGACTCCAAGAAACCCTAAAGAATGATAGGAACAGTCCAGAATGTTTTATTGGTATATTTTATTTTAATGACACATTCACATATTAATTCTTTCAGCTCTCTGCCCACAGGGCTAATGATGTTTTATGTAAGATAAAAGAATTAAGGACTTTTTAGGATAGAAAAAAGGAACATGAAGAAAGCAAGTAAGGATTAAGCTTAATAGTTAGGATATTCACTTTGAAGATAGAAACTGTAGGTTCCAGCCTCTCCGATGCTACTTACCACTATTTCCTGCAGAAAAAGAGGTTAATTGGGATATTGCCAGCAGCCCAGTCTCATCCCAGGTAGAGCAACGAGAGGGCGAGCAGTGCAGATTCAAACTCTTTACAGGGACATGGTAATTGATTAAGAGTTTCCTACAGCTTGATGAGTACTTAAATCACTGTGGTAAAGATAAGTCACTCACATTATCTTCGTTACTTAAGAGAGAAAGAAAAAGGATTCCAGTCACTTGATTTTGCTTTGACTTCTAATGTCCTAGATAGTTCTCTGCAGGAGAGGTTTGAAAGATGCAACTCCCATATGAAAACAGATGCATATACCCTAGAGAAATGTAGAATTTAATACAAATTCCTGTCCTGAGCATTACCTTGTGGTTTTGCATTGGCACATTTGTTTACAACATGCTGGGTCCATTTTCAGCTTCCTCAGAATGGTATCCACAAATTTCTCCCTCTCCCAAGCTCTGTGCAGACTGTCGGGACAGCTAACACTGTGTTTCAGCATTTTGGTCTCTTTGTGGTTCTGGGCTTATAGTATATAAACAATTCTTCATTAAACTGTTTCAGAAACTGCTGAAGCATTCACCTCATTCAGCACCATGAAAGGAAACATGAGCCCTAATAGTTTGCCACAGATTCTGGATCCCAAGAAGAATCTATCCACTCAAAAATGTACCAGTAATTTTTACTGAACCTGTTAGATTGCAGACAATGCTAAATATGCAACAGTATAAAGTACATTTCCTCCTATTAGCTGCTTATTTAACACAGGTGTTCTTGACTAAATATTTTTATAGACACTTCCACTTAAAGTGCTGCAAATAATTTTTCTGTAGAGACTGTTTGTATAACTGCCATTTATTTTAAGCACTGCATGATTCGTATTCATAATGGAAACTTCAATAGCAAGGGCTTCCGAACGAAGCTAGAGTAATTCCCCCTTTAGTCAATACAGTCTTCATTTACATCAGTAAACAGCACAGTACAATTGATGCAAACGCGTAGAGTGGAAGAGTTAAGTGTTGAGGACCTGACATCCGTATCACACATTCCAGGACACATCTTCTGGTTACATTTCACCAAAAAAAATGCAGTTTCTGTGCCCCAAGATTGTGCACCCCACTCTGTAATTACGATGGAAGAGCAGTAAGTGGAGATAATGAGGAAATTCGCAACAAAATAATGCTAGGATATAGCCTAAAATGGTTTTGCTCTTTAAGTTAAGGATATTTTCCATTGTGTATGAGTAAAAGAAAAGATGAGCTTTCTTTGCATCTTAGTCTGATGACGAACACCCTTTTATCATTCCACATGAAAATGTGCCACACAACTCTCATGAACAGAGAAATGGTGTCATCTTAAGAAAATGTAAATCTGAACAGAAGGTAAGTCTTGCATTTCTTTTCCAAGTATATTTGTTGATGGAAATTTTCTTCAATAAAATCCAGTTCAGACCAAGAGATATAATGTCATCCCTCTCAACTATAAGTTCATGCAAAGGAATTATTAATCAATACATGCTTCATATATTTTCACCCTGAATATGCATCAAAGGAACTGAAATGCTGTAAATGGGATCAGAAAGATTTGGGTCTCCTGTTTGGTGGCTCCTCCTGGAAAGATCAAATTGTGCATCTGGGGTTTTGTCTGCAGCCAGCAGCCGGGGCAGGCAGAAGGTCCTGCACAGGAGAAGTCGCCACTACTGACAGCACTCAGACCATTAGCTCCTCCGAGAGCCCAGGGCCATTATTTTACAAGCATTTCTGTGACAGAAAGAGAAGTAAAGCTCTGGATTTACTACAGCTAATTGTATTTCTCCTCTGCAAAATTAGTATTTCGCCCTGTATATAGACATTATATATAGAACGACAATAAACTGGCCTAAATATATGAAAGTACCATTACAGAGCAGATCTCAAATCCTGTAACCACCAAAGCAAGGGAGACAATCTTATTTGATGTGCATATCTAAAAATATATGAGGCCATAAAACTAAAAGCCAGATATTGCAACTTAGTAAGACCACAGAGCTGTCTCCAAATTTCAAGAGCAAAATACTGCTGTGCTCTTCATGTTATTTTTGCACTACCATTTCTGTAACCATGATGTTGAATTTACTCTCCAATATTTCTTCATGAGTGAAGTAACTTGTGAAATATCTGTGAACGCTTCAAACACCCCTTTGAAGGGAGGAAGTCCTAACAGTTTTGAGCTATTTTCAGAAGACATCCTTCCCCATAAGACACAAAATAATCATTAAAATAAAAAAAATTAATCCCTTTACTATGATTTGCCAAAAAGAAAATCGTGATTTCTAAAGAGTTAAACAGTTGACGCAATTTATTAGGAATCCATATTTTGTAAAGACCATTTACTTTCCTCAGAAACATGTAAGAGAAATGATTAGATGTCTGATCTTGTGGATGTGCACCTAGCACTCCTTAAAATGGAAGCTATACATTATCAGTCAATAAATAGCACAATACCTGAGGCAGTAAAAATTCTTTCATCTGAAAATAACAGTTATTACAAAATCAGTCATTTCTTAAGAAAAGGATTGTGAGGCAACATCTTGAGCCATAAATATTAAAATATGAAGACAGAAGCTTATTTATGTAAGCTGGAGTTAGCAGTTTTTGTTAGACCCCTCATAAGAAGGAAGAAGAGGCTAAGTAATAATTTGCAGAGTGATCCGGTCCAAGGCTGAAGAAATTTAGGAAAGGACTGTAGCATGCATTTCAGGGAAGAGACAGTCCCACCTGTCTGCAGAAATTGTCAGTGTGCTCAATATTAACTACTTACATTTGAAAGGCTTTTTTATTTTTATTCAGCCTCACATTGTATTTATGAACCGTTCTGATCCTACTGTTCGTCATATTGCCATCCAATATTTTTCCTAATTAAAATTGCTTTGAAGTCTCTGACCTTTAGGCAGACACTCAATTCTGAATTAAAATATAATTATCTTTGTAAAATGAATACACTTCTTATGCTGCCCCCATGCTCTTCTTGTTACAGAATAAATACATAATAAATATAAGGAAAAGACTATATTGAACTTGATAAAACAATGAAAAATAAGGAGAAAATAAACTGAGCAGCCTGGTTTTCCTTTCATATATAATGAGGGCAAAGAGACAGTGGGGAAAAAGGAAAGGCAATACTTAAAATTTAGAGAAATAAATCCTTTGTGCACAACGCATAATTTATCTGCAGGACATACTGCCACGAAACTTCATCACGTTTGCTGAAACCAAAAGAAGGGCAGCTTTTTATGTGAGTAGGTCCAGCAGTCACACGGTTTATATTCCTGTGGTATTATGCAGGTACAGTGTGGTTTACTGAACAGGACCACAACCACTCTTTGAAGGTGAAAGAGGCCCATAAATTACAGAACACAGAAGAGTGTATTTCTTGTGTGTAAATCACAGCTTTTTTTCTAAACTTTTGGTAGCTAAACGAATCACTGATATGATGAAGGTAGCGCTTCCCATTGATCTCCTCTTCTTTACCATCGCTTCTCCTAGCAAAGGTATTCCTTAGTCTAAACGAATGGCAGCTCTTGACCGTACGTTTGCTTACAATACTTTGCAACCTTTTCTATGGCCATATAATAGGAACTTAATACATAACTTACTTTTACGTAGAGCTGCTGAAACTCTTCAAGGTTCAGTCTACCACTTGGACAGTCCTTTAGAAATCCCTTGTACCACTGTTTTAGCTCATGTTCATTGAACTCCGTGCTCTTCACCAGATCCTCCATCACCTCAGGGGCCAGCTTGCTATTCTGTTTCCCCATTCTGCCTTAAGAAGAAATAAATAAATACAATTAGCAGAGTTGCTGTGAACATTTTAAACTAGAATTAGCGATAAAGCTCGAACGCATCACTTGTTTCGTACTCAGTGCTGCTTTTAGTCAAAAGCAACTTTACAGATTGGCTAGTGAACAGGAACCTAAGCTATGCTTGAACATGAGAGGCTGAAAATGGTGAAAAAGACAACATTCTACTTTCATTTAGAAGTCTGAAGGCCTGGAGACAGACTTCTCATTCGCCTTCACATTAGGTAATTTCTAGCTTTTCTTTACACTAAGGCTGAAAAAGATGACTTCACTATTTCTTTGAATTTAACAAAAATTTTTCACAAATTCAGGGATGTCCACAGACTTCCTCTTTATCTTTGTCTTGAAAATCTCTCCGGATACGACACCCATGTTAGCAGCTACTGCTCACAGGTGCAAGGCTGTGGACACACAGGCTTGTAACATACAGTGCTAGATGCTCCACTGCGAGGAAGCAACAGGAGAGTCCACACACTTGGTCTCAAAAAATGGTGAAACCAAACTGGAAAAAAAAAAAGTAATTCTTATATATACGCACATATATGTGTATAAATACACATATGTATATAGATCTATATATTTACTGCATAGTTGATACACAATAGCTTGTATTTCATCACTGTTAACTCTGGAGATATCCACTATTTTTGTTATATACATTTTGTATACACACATAAATATTAAACATAAAACATATGGAAGTACAAAATACGCATGTGTGTATAGAGAAATACAGTAATTTCAGTACTACTCGTGCTGGCCCTTTGAGATATTTCCAGGTCCTTTGATGTTTGATCAAAGATGTCCTTTGAGAGAACTTTTGAGAAATCCTTTTCTTTAACTTTTTCCCAACCGTATCCTGGGGTGCATCAAGTACGGCATTGCTAGCCGGTCTAGGGAAGGGATTGTCCCACTCTACACTGCGCTGGTGCGGCCTCACCTCGAGTATTGCAGGCAGTTTTGGGCACCACAGTACAAAGAGGACATAAAACTATTGGAGAGTGTCCAAAGGAGGGCAACAAAGATGGTGAAGGGTCTAGGGGGGGAAGACATGTGAGGAGAGGCTGAAGTCCCTTGGTTTGTCCAGCCTAGAGAAGAGTAGACGGAGGGGAGCCCTCATCGCAGCCTACAGCTTCCCCATGAGGGGGAGTGAGGGGGCAGGCGCTGACCTCCTCCCTCTGGTGACCAGTGATAGAACCCGAGGGAATGGCATGAAGCTGCAACGGGGGAGGTTTAGGTTGGATATTAGAAAAAGGTTCTTCACCGAGAGGGTGGTCGGGCACTGGAACAGGCTCCCCAGGGAAGTGGTCACAGCACTGAGCTTGATTGAGTTCAAGAAGCGTCTGGACAACGCTCTCAGTCATATGCTCTGATTCGGCTGGTCCTGTGTGGAGCCATGGGTCCCTTCCAACTCAGGATATTCTATGATTCTATGATTCTACTACAGTTTGTTTCATGACAGGAGATGTCTTCCAGTTATTTTTTAATCAGATGACAGACAGTACTTAACTTGTCCTGTACAGCACTGCAAAGCGATGAATAATTTCTTTCCTGAGCCTAGCTTAGCATTTCCATTTTTATCTCCCAGTATAGCATCTGTCTCTAATGACAGCACCACATTTAATGCATTGATTTCTAGTCCGTATCACCACCCATTCCTGATAGTAATCTATTGCTTTTGGCATCTTCCCCTATGTCAAAGGGGAAGTTTCTTTCTCCTCAGAAGCACATACTTTGCTTTGTTCCAACAAATCAATATATTTATACAACTTCCTATACGGGAACCTTCCTTAAGCAGGCGCAAAGTTAACCATTCCTCCTGGTTGTGTGCGACCAACACATCCCCCAGTGCCATACTACCGGTGGCACCAGGTCTCTTCCTGAAACGCCTCATGGCCCCTCTCCTCTTTGGCCATGGTCCTCCCCAGCCTGTCCTCGCCCCCTCCCACAGCCCCCAGCCCACCAGGACAACCAGGGATGCTGGCAAACCCCTTTGCCAGGACAGCACCCAACTTGACCGCATAAACATCCGCAACACAAGAAGGAAAGTGTCTTTCGTCAAAGCATTCAGCTGGTACAAAGTTGGGAAACTTGCTCGTCAGAAGGACAAAAAGTGCCACAATCCATTGGGATAGAAACTCCAGCCAGAAATGCCTCCACACCTTCGGGACACAGCTGTTAGAGAAGTGTGCTGTGCACAGATGTAACTGGAGGTGGAAGTGGGCCACCATTTCTTGGAGTGCTTCCAACAAGCAGACCCTCCTTCCCCAGGCTCTACACATCCTTGCTCTACCAACACTGTGTGCTGCTGCAGGGCTTTCTTGCTTGACGCCCTGCCTCCTCTCTGAACTACAAGAACCTGCTGCAACGACTCACACAACTGCTAATTAAGGGCAGCACACTGCTTGCTCTAAACTCACTTTGAAGCCTTGCCAAACTCCCATCCACACATTTTGGTAAACTTAGCACAAATATGGGAGAGTTTAACCTTTCAGTTCATTGCCATAGGCCTAACTGTACATGCAGATGTCCCAGAAATTAGCCATTTTGACTAAATGACAGGTTTGCAATTTATAGTATTTACAACAGTTGCCCTAGCCTTATCTTTGAAGTCCCCATCTTCTCATGTATGTCACTGACCTAATTTGGCATAATCTGAATTTAAATCTCATAGAGGCTAAAGTATACCAATACAGTTATTTCTCCAGCTCCTACTCAGATGGCTTTTAAGTGAAACAATAGACTGTTTTGTTTTAATCTTTAAGGGACCTGTTTATTTCCTCATTTTTCTTTTTTCTCCTTTAAACTGTGTTACCCTTTGCAGTCATAAGGTGCTTTGCTTAGGACTCAGAGGACCCTTAAAGACTCTCAGTAATTATAGTAACTACCTTAGGTAGACTCATAAGGCATCTTCTGGCTCTCTTAATTTAGCCAAGTGTGCTTTTACTTGACTCTTTTCACCTGGATTCTTATCCCCATTCATATTTAACTCAGTGACATTTACACATGAAAAAAAGCATCTTCAATGGGCAAAGATCAGGTGGTTCTGACTGACAAATTTTCTGCAATAGCAACTTTTCTGTATTTATCGCGTTAGCTTTACAGCCCTTGGACCTGGCACTGCACAGCGACGGAAGCAGACAGAACTGTGAATCCCAGCACCATCTTCCAAAGTTAGCTATGCTGTTTTCAGTAATGTGGACATAAAACATTCTAGAAAATGGAGTGGGTCTGCACCTATGTAAGAATATATGAATAAAGAGCTGGACAAATGTACCCACACATAATCTTTTCTATCATCAGATTCAGAGTAACAAGACAGCAGTTTGCTGCCTCTGTGATACAGGTCCTTAGTTTTGCTCAGCTGCTTGCTCTGCCATAGGTTGTCCAATGAGTCCCAAACACCTTCCAGCCATCCCTGATGTACCTCACCACATAACATCCTCTAGCAAATGAAAAGAAAACCACAGCTGACATCTTGATAAACACTTTCAGTAACTATTTGTTCCACAGAACCAAATCAGTAGTTGAGAAAGGTATAATTTGGGACTGATGGGTTCTGTACTCTGATTTGCTGCTCCAGCACAGTACGGTGCATAATCCGCCTGGCTCTGTTTGAGACGAGGGACTGAACAAGCTGACCAAGCCAGTGACAATGCCTTCCTGTAATTAGAGGCACTCATTCATTCTTCTCGTTTTAAAGTTCTTTTTTATGGAATTGAATTACAATCTGCAAGAAAGCTCAAGAGCCTCATACAATTATCAAATATAAACTCACACTTCTGGGTCTGGGAGATCTGGCTTATTTGGGAATAAAAAATCAAATACATAGATTATCTAACATCTTCTAGAGTTCATTGAATCTCTTATTATTATTGAAAAAGTACAATCACCCATTAGCAATGAATATGCCACTGCCAACACATTTTTCATTTTCTAAAATGAAAACTATTTTTAATTAACTTATAATCATGGTTTCCCAAACATGTTTTTTCCCTTGAGAAAATCTATGAATATGCATTAAGAAAAGACAGGAGAGAACAGCTGCACAATCGCTAAGTTTTCAAGAAGAGGAAAGGTCACTCTGCAAGCATTTCTTTGTTTATTAAATTATATTAAACTACAATTTTCCTTCCAACTTCCATACTTCCAACCATGCAATGTGTCAATCCACGCACTGTTATTCAACTTCTGTGGTGTTTTCTGATTGGCAAAAATCATGAAAGGGGAAAAAACAATAACAAAAAACCAAAACAACAACAACAACGTAAAAGCAACATGCTTCATTTCCAAATCATCATTGGGTAGAGATTCACAATAAACAAGCAACCAGGTACGTGGGCGGCACTTAGCATCAGTAAAGGTGTCAAGTCTCTTCCCAATGAGATTACTGTGGCAGGAGAATCCTTATTAATATTAGCAAAGGCAACATGATCCAGAGTAGAGACCAAGAAAAACACTAGAACTCTACTGTTGTGCCACAAGCAGCAACAGCAATGAAGGTTGAGTTTAAAAAACACATCCCCTTCGCTGAAATGCTGCAGAGTCAGCTACCCAGAGAAACAAGCTTTTCAGAAACGCTTAGTAAAGTACTTAATTAAGTAACACCTTAATTGCTGTTTTTACAGGTCCATAGGAGGGTCATGTTTAAAAGATGGAATTTTATGAAGCAACCAGCCCCCAACCTGAAGCAGTCTGGGCTGTGCCAGCAGAAGGCAGGGACAACGTGAGGATGTACTTGCCTGCTCTTTGCCCCGCTGGACCTCGGGAGGTCCACGCCAGCCAGCCCGGGGAAGCAGGAAAGGGCTGCAGCAGCAGCTGGAAGTTACTCTAAAATGACTCAGCAGCATGGCTTAACAAACTGATTTTATATGATTTACTGGGGGCTTTGGAGGTAATGGACATTAAGTCACATGCAGGAAGAGGAAGACGGTTCTTCCAATTTTAAGACCATACCT